CTTCTTGGCTTCAGTTGGGGACAGCACTTTAAGGGCATGCTTCTCATCTCGGAGTGTGGTCCATTCTGCGGTCTTGGCCAAATCTATCTGTTCTTGGATCATCGGAGGATTCTTCGAATGATGTAGTTCCTTCTGCATCTTTTTCTGAAGAAAGCTGGCAACCAAGACTTCTACACATGGAGCTGGGCCATTCTCCTGTATGAGTTCCGTCACAAGGCACTCATCCGAGTCTGTCTTCGAGCACTTGCTAGGAGCACTGGAGGGTCCGTCAGGAGACAGGCTACGTTTTGTTCCATGTGCCTCTTCGAGAACCTCTTGAAGATCTTCCATCCTGGTTTCCGGAGGTCTCAACAAGAACACTGGGGGTCCTTTGGTCTGTCTCAACCGAACAGGTCCGTAACCCTCATTGCTGTTTTCAGCACTGGTTCGCTCAGCTTCGGTTCCCAAGGGAGTCCACCTCGTTTGGGCATCTGTACCCATGTTTGTGAGTGTTCGAGACATTGAACTGGTTGTTCCTGTGGAAGGTTGCGCCAGTTCTCGCAGCTCTACCTGACTTCCTTTCCCCTGCAAAAGAGGGGGGGGTCCGAACGTCGACGTTTGGACGGGGTCTTTTTGGATTACTACCTTCTAGGTTGTCAAACAAACTATCACCTGTTTCGGATTCTCCTATGCTCGGACTAGCTGGCTTCGGCATTGCACTCGACACGGGCTTTGTGGCCGACGGCACCGTCACGCTGGCTGGGTTCTCTCTCCGTGGACGAATCTGGAACTGTGATTCTCCCTTCCAAGTGGTTTCCCCCCAAACCCCGGTCTGCGTGTCCGGATCTGACCAAATCTTATGAACCACGACTTCACCTGTGCCCGAACGAATGGTCTTTCGCCAATTTTCCAAAGACACGCCCTTCAACAATGGGTCATTTGGATCAGGAAGGAACCACTTTTGACGTGGAGTACGATGAACTCTGCACAACAACTCACCTCTCTTGATCCACACATCTGGCTGAGCTACAGGTTCACTAGCAATCTGCATCGGAGTGGGAGTACCTGTCAAATCAATAAATTGTGATCCGATCTGTTCCTTGTCCTGGAGAATTGTGTTCAAACCCAACAACTCTCGACCGTCGGTCTGGGCAAGAAGTCTCTCTTCGGCAGTCACATGTCTCAAATGCTCTGGAGCCACTTTAAAGACGTTCTTCCTGTGATACACCAAGAAGTTTCGACCTACCTTACCCATGACAGTTGCAACCCCGAACCATCTACCTCCTACTAGTCTCATGCCACGCTCATACTTCTGGGTCCGCCAATATGCACCGAAGTCCCCTGGCAGAAAGTCTCTCTCTATCCTTGGTCTTGCATTCAAGGCTGTCCTAAGTGTCTTGTCGTCTTGAGACATGATCAGGGCCGTGCGAGCCTGAGTGCGAATTGCCTGCGCTTTTGCCACTGCATCGTCGGACAGGGCGGCTGTCCCGGACACAGGGCAGGGCCATTCCTGAAGCAGGTCACCTGGCACTCTAGGGTTTCTACCGAAAACAAGTTGGCATGGCAACAGTCCATGTTGATTCAACAACTCGTTCTTTGCATTCATGGTCTGTACAATGCACTGTTCATATTCTTCTTTGTTCTTCGGTTGAACCTGATCCAACACCTTTTGAAGGATGACCTCAAACAAATGACCATGCTTCTCGACCTTCCCCAATTGGGAATGTGCTTCGGCTGCAGTCGACAGGACTCTGGCGCCATCTTGCTCTAGCATCTTGAAAATCTGTTCGGACTGATTAGTCCTAGCAGGGTCTGTGATGACTTCAACCGGAGGACCTGCCCATCGTTGCCAAGCATCAAGGTAGATACGCTTCAACACTTCACTGGTTTCCTTCTCATAAAAGGGGACTACTACCTGGAAGCTGCTGGCATGATCTACGATGTTCATGGTTTTGATCTTCTGGTTGACTTGCCAACCTGGCAAATTCTTGACATCCCAGCCAATCCGTTGATTGAATTCAGTGGCTTTCTCTGGATTGGACGGCAAGGAAGGCGTGGGTCGCTGTCTCTGCCGGCAAATGTCGCACTGACTCTCTACCTGTTCGGCTGCCTTCAAAGCTTGTTCCGAGCCACCTGCATTCTTCAGGATTCTAATGAGGGTCCTAGTAGAGGGATGGCCTAGATTATTGTGAAGTCTCTTCAACAAGCTCTTTACCTTTTCAGGATCATGGGCAGCCTCTGCTACACAGACCTCATGGCACTCAGTCGCTGTTGGAAAGGATTCCTGCACATCGGCGAACGAACACAAACAATCTTGTGGTCTGATGCACGTGTACCAAGTTTGAACAAAGGCTTGTGTGTATGTGGCAGCTAATGCACTCCTAGAAACCCCTTCATTAGTCCTACCTGCGATCGACTGATGTCTTGCATGGCCGGGACATGTACGAACAAGTTCACTCATGTCAACATGTGATACGGCCAGTCCTGTCGGTTTGAGGACTGGAATCTGGCTGTCTGGGTCTGAAAGACCGTAGGCACACATGTCGGCTCGATGCACGGACAACTTGCCTGCTTGAATGAGCTTCTTCATTGGGCCGAACTTCCACAGATCACTTGACCATGGATGTTCAACCAACACGCGTCCACCTCGTCTCAACTGGCGTTTGATCTGCTCAACACAAAAGGTGGCCTGTCGAGTGGCAATGCGTTGATTGTGCAACTGTTCTGCCACTGAAAGCTTGTGTTTGTTGAGTCTGTACCAACCACCCCAATGCTTGCACTCGGGGCAGCACACCAGCAACTCGGGAGCCTGCTCTTCCAAGATCGTGTCAACCTGCGCCTGTGTCTTAGGGTCAGTCAGGTCCCAGCCTTGCTTGATGTCAAACGCCAAGCCCTTGTCTCCTCTCTCCCTTGCCCAGGCACTGAACCTTGGCGGAGAGAATAGCTCAGCGACAGCACATTTGGTCTTCTTCTCCTTGTTCCAGGTTTCACTGTGTGCCAACAAGCACCGCTGTTCTCGGCGAGTGAGGACTCTGGTAGGTCCTTGCATGAACTGTTCTGCATCCTCCTCCGATGTGTCTTCTTCTGTCGTTGGATTCTGTCCTCCTTCCACGACAAGAACCTCCTCGTCCACTCCCTCGGAGTCCAGCACGTTCAAAATGAACTGGCCAGCTGTGTTCATCTGAAGTGGTCGAGGTGGTCCGCCCTGGAGTTCCACTGTCTCAGCCGCAAAGTCCAGCTTGGCATCTAAGCTCTTCAAGGTGTTTCGGGACAGAAGAAGGGGTGCTGTCCCTCTGATCACCGCAGCTTCGATTCGGCCCGGTCGGCCGTGGATCACAATCGGCATGGAAACTACCTTCTCAGACAGCTCCTCTTGACCATTCCCAAAACGAAACAAATTCTGTTGGGGTCGACTGTCCGGCAAAGTCATCTTGCGGTCCTGATACAGACGCATGAACTCACCCAATGTCTGTTGGCCAATCAATGTACGACTGCAACCCGAATCAATGATGCCATACCCTGGTGAGGACACCAAATAACACTCGTCTGCATCTGTCACCATGGCTGCCCCACTAGGTTTCTCTGCCTTGTTGCTTGAACTGGAAGCCTGTGGGCAATTTCTTGCCCAATGTCCAATCTGACCGCACCGTCTACAGCGTGACTTCTTCTGAATGTCTGTCAGCTCCCGTGTGAATTGCTTCTTCACGGTATTGGCCTGTTTGAACTTTCTGGCTTTCTGCAGCTTTGAAATCTCGGTTCTCCTCTCCTTCCAGGTTGCTGCCAACACTTCTGCAATCTCCTCTTCATCATACACCTCAGCTGAACTGTTTGCGGATGCAGCATCATGAAACCCATGCTCTGTCAGAAATGCTTCCAACTCTTCAAAAACAACGCTATCAGGCCCTTCCGCTTCTTGAGCTGGCCCCGACTCCGGTTCATCCTCTGACCAGTCGTGTTGGACCACATAGGCTGGAGCGCTCCTGGCCTGTTTCTTGGTTGCTCTGAACTCTGGGAAGCAACTTCTCATCGCAGCTGTAATGCTGTCCATTTTCAAGTCACCCTGAGTCTTTGCTGTCACGATTGCTCGTTGGTCAGCTGACAACCCTGAGGAGTTGAGACATACCCAACCCTGTGCTTCAGGGGGGAAATCCACCGACACTTTCCTCCGACATTTAGCGAAGGCTTCCTGGACTCTCGAGCACCATGCCACCACGGTCTCACCCTCCTGGGCATGCAGCTCAAAGACTTCCTTGAGACATTCGGCCATGTGGTCGTGGGCCAACTTGTCTGGAAATCTGTCATCAAGGCACTTCCAAATGTGTTTGTCTCCATTCTCTTCCCGGAGTAGATCCAACGTCAAATGCTCAACAGTTTCCAGAGCCAATCCGTCAAGAAGACAAAACACGTAAGGACCTCGATGTGTCGGAGTCATGTCTTTGGTGGAGGCCATCTTGGCCAAAGCCCAAAGGCGCCACCGCCTGTACTCTTTGGGGTCCAGACTCTCCCCACTGAATCGACGTTGTCCCATCGACGACCCATCCGAGCTGGCGGCCATGGCACCTACACCCCAAAACTATACACTAGACACTGCTTTCAGTGTTCAGCCCTTCCTAAGGCCTAACTACCCCGGATGCCCTCCTCCGATTGGAGGAGGGCTCCGCTACCAATGTTGAAACCACGGACCGATTCGATCCGTCCGAGAGCTCCTGCTCTCCCCCTACCGGCGGCCTTTTCCGCGCCCGATCCTCGAGCAAAGGTTGCCTCCGGTCCGACCTATAATGCACACCCGTCGTGACACTGCTTTCACATATATATATGTCACTTGCCTAGTGTATGTTCGCCAACACCTTGCAGGGGCGGGTGATGTAAGTCCTGGTCCGACCCGACGGACGCTTCGGACGCTGGATGAACTACAGGTGTGTTGACGCGCCAGGCGTTCAATTCATGCAGAATTTCCAAGAGTTCCTGCTGTCAAATGTCCTTCATTTTGATGGTTCCTTGGGCTCTAAATGTTAAACTCACTATGATTCCCACCTCCTTGACTGCAACTTCAATCGCTTCAATCGCGGCGAACTCGCTTTGACTCTCAAACGTCCAAAGCGACATCGGTCACGGGCTGAAATCGCCCACAGGCCACGCGCCTGTGACGAAGCTTTCTATCATCAGCGCATGGAGAGGCCAAAGCTGAAATCATCTATTTAATTCTAATGCTAATTCCAATTAATTAACCCATCTGAAACCACTCTTTTATACCGGCACCTTTAATACAGGTCATCATCTGGACGTCACGTCCTTCTTTTCTCTAGAAACTGTCTTCCCATGTGAAGAAAGGAGTCAGTTCACCTGTATGAGGTAACGGGGTTCGGCACCAAACTAATCAAAAACCTCTTCTAACATTCTTCTAAACCAGCAAAATGGTGTGTTTTGACCCTGTTTACTTTTTTGCATGATCGTTTGTTGGACCATGTTGTACGGATGCAGGTGTCCGATATCAGCCAAGCTCTGTACCTTTATACAGAAAAACCAAAAACATTGCATGTAGGTTATATAGAACCTCGATCTGCACCAAATAATTGTCGGATAGGCTCTGATACTGCCAAACCAAGAAACACAGGCATACCATGAGAACACCTCAAGCGACCTCAACAAACTCGACAGCCGACATATTATATTAATGACAGAACTCCCCATCACTTAATGAATATCACATACAACATCTTGAAAGAAACTCCCGTCCTTCCACCTCCACTTGACCTGATTGATCCCTCTCAGCATGGCTAGGTCGGCGAGCCTGAGTGCCAAGCCACTCGTGAGTCCCAGCATGAAGCAAAGGAGAGCAAACCTAGCGGGCCCGAAGCGACGGTCTTCGCCTTCGCCTTCCGACAGTCTTCGTGTTTGCGGCCTCAAGTGACACCGGTCGACTAGCCAGTGGTGATGTCATGTGATTTCAGGGGTCGACACGGCGACGCTGGGAAGAAACCGCTATCGCAAATCGCGCCCTCCACATCTTGCATCCCAACATCTTTGGTCCATGTCTGTCGTGACCCGCGAGCACAGGGCTATACAAAGTAGGTTCGGAGCCTTTCTGGTATCCGAACAACATGTTCTCTGAATCGTCCGGAATCTCATGAGTTCGGCCAAGGATGTTGGAATTAATTGTACGTATAACTTTTGTAAGTGGAATGAAGAATCGTCCAACTCACAACCCCGGGTCTAGAATGCCAGCCATCCCTGTCAGCCTCAAGTCCATCGGGGTCACATTTGTCGCGAGGAAGGTCTCGACAGCCACCGGATGCGGCGGAAGGTCGACGTTCATCTGCCCCCGATGGGCCGGCCTCCAGTGTTACTTACCCCGGCGCTCGGTGGCGAAAGGTCGTCACTTCCAACCTCGACCAATCTCGGAGTGTGCTTCGTTTGATTTCTCGTGGCCCGTTCCAACCATCGGCTGGCTGGCTCAACTTGGATGGTTGAGCCCCTCGAAACCGAACAATTGGCGGAACATGGTCATCGAACAATCCTGCCAAAAACATAGGCTCTGCAAACGACACAACAAAACCCAGTAGCAATCCATAACCAAATGAATTGCTGTGGCCGAGCAAAAGCTGCACTGCACCAAATCTAGAACCCTCTACAAACATTTACGAAACAGGCCCACCAGTGTCCGTTATCTTCCATTCCTTCACGTCGATAGACGGCTCCACAGCGACCCACGCCTCGCCACGCGCGCAACACACTCAGCGTTCAACGTTCGGACTAAGAGATGTCTTGCCGAGGCGCCGGAAAAAAACTCTTGCAAAGGTCCACCGGGGCACTAGCACGGACGGTTTCAATGCCCTGCTCGCGCATCCTCAAGGTCTGAGTGGTGCAGCTTAAAAATAACAGAAGAATGCCTTATACCAGGCCAGGTCCATCCTGCTTGGGTGTCCTGCCTGTACTACCCTGTCACTGACACCCATTGGATGGTCCAGGTAAGATGTGTGTGCCTTCCCTGGGTAAATGCAGCTTCCCTGCACTGGCAGTCCTTTGCAGCGCCTTGCCAGAAAAGGAGAGGAAGTTTCCTGCGGTCCAAAACAGTTGACTCTTTAGCTGAACAAATGGCATAGCTGTGTAGCTGCTACTCATAGCAAAAAGCTCAAAAAGCTCATAAAACAGCAAAGCCCTCTGCATAAAGCTGCCTACCCACCATCCCTGCAGGATGGCATCTGTGGACCTGCTATCGCACACCCCGGCCACACCCGAGCCACGGGTCCCACGCCGGTACGCACCTGGATCTGTACGTGGCGTGAACGCGAGGATTCGGCGGTCCTCGATTCGGCGGATTGGGTGGGTTGTCCGACTTGGTCTTTAATTCTGATGACTCTTGAAGTCACAAATTCTGTGGACCATCTCAGAACTTGACAAGGGAACATCTGATGGTTAATGGTTGAATTATGTGTTGTTGTGATGGCTTTAGAAGGTGTTGGCACACAGTTATTTCTGCCCCGTGCTCTGAATGTTTTTTACGTCCATCAAGCGTTTCTCAAACTCAAAACATGTCCCACAACTTTCTTGAGGTGACGCACCGTCCGGTGACACATGCCTGAATGGAGTGACTGTGGGCACTGTGGGCCCCTCAACCTCACTGAGTCACCCTGAAAGCCCTGCTTTTCGAACCCGAAGACCCACCAGCTTGAGCCATGTCACTCGGAGAGAACAAACAAAAACGACAAAGCAACCTGATCTACTTATAGACTTATAGGGACCATAAAATATTGTTAGAGCATGTCCTTAGATATCCCTTTGACCTTCCGAGATCTCAGAAAGTATATCTACCTAGAGCCTGACATCAATACTGCTAGAAGAGTAGCTTGCTTACGTGGCCTGTCTTTGACTCTAATCTCTATTCTCCTCTGTTGCAAGCACCGACCTAGATCACCAACCTATCTACATCCTACATTCTTCTTCCCCAAAGCGTGACGACCACCCGGTGGCATCACCGAAGCCGGCCGACGCAGCGGCCATCGGTCCGGAAAGCCGAAGCAGGCCATCTGCAGCTCGTGCTCCAAGAAGTATCTGCCACGACAGGGATCCGCGGCGAAAAAGGGCACTCCAGAGAGCGGGATCTGTCAGGCTCTAGGTAGCTATACTAGCAGTATAGGCTGATAGTATGGAATGGTATGGTACGTTTAAATGATATAATATGGTATACTTTCGCATGTGCAAAGATTCAGGAGCCCCCTTTTTTCCTACCCCATTTGTTGATGACCCTATAATGTAACTCGATTTACGACACCCTTTTGTATGAACCCTTTTTTGATGACCACTTTGTGTATGCTTATAGTTATGTTGTGTGTACTCCAGACATGGAGTATCCAAGCTCGGCAACTGACCCCCGACCCCGTGACGGGGTCTGCCGTGAAATCACTCTGAGCGCTTTCCACTCGAGCGCAAGAATCAAAGGCACGAGGCACCGTCTTGGCCAAAGGAAGTCTCGTTAGGGACAAGCATGAAGACTTTGTACAGCTAGCTATCCTTCCTTTGAAATCCTTTATACATGATTCCCTACATCTGTTATAGACAATTAATAAGGGTAAGCCTTCGCAAATATACAGTATGAATGACATCATTGCACGCTTTTCCACCAAGACTCGCTGGTTAGGAAGACCCACAACCGAACACGGCCCAGAACCCCACATCGACCGGCGCCTTTGTTGCATCATGTTGAACTCGAACTCCACGATGCTAAGCCCCACATCGATCCCTGCCTAGCCAGGAATCAGTGACCGTGTGAGGCGGATATCGCTTGTCCGAGAAGTCGTGATTGAGCCTATCTATTCTGGTTTGATCTATGGAGAGGAGAACCCCACCAATCACACCAGTGATGACAGTGTTATATATATATAAATTCCTCTGTTGTTGTTTGTATGCTGCCTTCTAACTAGTACATGTTGGACCAGTTGTACCGCACACACAAAAACGAACGACGCATGGAGTTGGCTCCTCAAACATTTTGACACTCTGGTTTGAGGTCTTTTCATCCTTGAGGTTTCTTCATCTGTTCATCACACTCCAAGTCAGTCAGAAGTGCGGGAGAGACCAGTGCTTGGGGTCACACATACACATGGAAACAAACCAGCAGTTCCATGGAAACACACGGTATCATCGAAGAAGAAACGCACAACCAACCAACAGTTCGTAGGAAGGCCGAACTTGGAGGGGTGGGTGCCAGTGCCGAACTTGGAGGGGTTCCGGAGTGGAACATGAAACCAAAATTGGATGGATCTATAAATCAAACCCAGCCCAACCAACTTCTAGAAAATCATGAAACTCTGTTGGTTCATGAAACTCAGGAACCAACAACTAGAGGTGCATGAAACTCCGCGTCCAATTCCGACTTGCTCTGAATGGTTTCCTCAGAGCAGCCGCCCTTAACTCGCTTGACCCGCCTTGCTGAGTGCCTCCAAATCTGGAATCAAACCCGTCGTGTTGACGGGGTCCAGGTTGACCTTGGACGTGTTGACCGTGGCCGGGTCCAGGTTGACCTCTTCGACCAGAATGCAGGAGTCATGACTTACAGCTTGGTGACTTATAGACAAAACAACAAATGTCCACTGCAAGAGATCCTCTCAGAACAGGAGGAAAACCAAAACTTCCATTGGGAATCATCGAAATGTCCCAAAAAAAAGGGAGGGGAGGAGGAGAATTGCCCATCTACTCAGGCATTGACTCTTCTCCAAGTCATATCCAAATTGTTAATCCAAGTCTTAGAGAATTGGAGAATGCGAATCATTTGAGCTCCAAATTGTTAATCCAAGTTGGATCCATATCAATCCAGATCCCCCTTCCAAGTCGAAACGATGTGCCTGACCAATTTCTTCGCCCCTCCGTCGGAGAGAGAATCCAAGCCATTGAGGTGGGAACAAGGGGGCCTATTGGCCTATTCACTCACTGCCAACAAGGTTTTGTCTGAGCATGCACATGTCCCACAAAACACACCAGCTGCTGCTAAGCTGCTTCAGCAAAATCTAGGAATTAAGAATAGCACGTGCTTCCCAAGTAGAGAGAAACTGGTGTTGAACGCACCTTCACAGTGGGTTCTATTATTCTCATCCAAAGTGCGACCACCACGGTCTGTGCTCCGTCTTCCAGCGCCTGGACAATCAAGAAACTCGAATGCTACCATGAAGAATGCACCACCCCAAACGGACAGCTCCCGACTTCAACCATAAACAGTCACCACTTATATATAGACTGTCTTTAGGGATACAAAATAATACAAACAAAAAGTTCAGATAGTTTGTTATTTTTTCCGCCATCAAACACATCCATCCGGAGTGAAGTTGAGGTGAACAAGCGTCAAAGAACGGCCAGTGTAGACAGCATAGCGAGCTGGCCATGGGCCATTGGCCTCATGCTGTCACACTATGAGCTGGACAACATGTGGCGCCAGTTGGATCCGTGTGACCATGGATCCGTTTCTTGAGCATGGACCATGTGTTTCACGGGGTCACACAGCGCCGTGTGTTGAGCATACCTCTTGATGTCGAAATGGATGGACACTCCACGTCGTGGTTCCTGCAAACCAAGGAGGCCAAGCGACATGCAGGGAGACTTGCTGGAATTAGTGGCTTTCAAGACAAATCAACAAAAGATCACATATTATATATGATTATATGTATATATGTATCGTATCTGTCTATGTTTGATTCACCAAGTCACATGCGCGCACAGACACACACACACACCCACATGCACACGCACACGCACACCCGAAGTGACCCTTCTCCACCAGAACCCTTGGCTCCATCCCGTTCTTCGTCACATCAAGGACTCTCAACGATGGGGCCTTCATGATCGGCGTGTTCGCGACGAAGCCACCGTCCACGAAGCCCTCCGAGTCGACCTGGCGAACTCCCAAAGGCTCAGAAAGGACCCTCAGTTGGCGGTCCGAGTGGTTTGGACCCTCACAAGCAGGGTGAAATGGACCGAACCAACATGTAGCAGTTGGTTCGGGTCCATGAGCCTCTGGGTGGTACCAGTATGTGTAGAGTTGTCTTCTGAGAAGGCCGGTGTTTCCCCCATATGCTAAAGACGTATTCGGCCTAATTGTGTCCATGTTGGTTTCAAACTCTTGATCCTGTGTCCTGGTCGGATCCCTTGGATTTCTGATCCCCCGCACCTCGACTTTTGTCTACTCAGGAAAGACATACACGGTATGAATCAGCACAAACGCACACACTCATGATCACTCATGCTTTTCTCTGGACCCTTGCCATGCCCTAAGCAAGATCAGCGAGTCCGGTGTCTGGCTGGTTTGTATCAAGAACCCAGTGTGGCTTGCAGAATATTAGGTTGTTGCAGAAACAGGACGACGACGAGAAGAGGGAGCTTTTCCTCTGATAATCTCCCTCCTTTTAGAGTCTGTGGGACAAGGTTTGCATTTCTATAGGATATTCAAAGTACTGTGCAGCTCCCCGAAAATACCATGGGCTGACTCCAGGCTGATCGGCCAGCGTTCCCAGGAGTTGTCCACACTGAACGGGGGGTCCAGCTTGGGAAGCTGCATCCTTTGGAGACACTTGGCCCTGAGGACAATGAGACAAACTCCCAAAATAGAACCAAAACATCCCAAATGTCATGTAGCAGCTCCTTGAGTTCAATCATGTTCAATCTAAAACCCTATTGGATCAATGTAGCTCCCTCTCAGTTTGGTCCCTGCGGCTTCTTGGGTCCTTGGAGGTTCCCTGCAGAGGATCTCCGACCGAAAAAACAAAGAAACAAACATGTGGATCATGTGGTCTTGTTCTTTCTCTTTGTTGCGCTCTTCAAACATCAGTGGATCCTCTTTAAAGACTTCCCCTCGGGATTCCCCGTCCACCCCCGCCCAAACCAGCCAACCTCGAACCGAAAAAACAACGCCTCCATGGGATAGATGATCGGCGCGATGGCGCCCGAGGCCTCGCGGGCGGGACCCCGGCACCGACGGAAGCGGCGAAAGCGGCGACGGAAGCGGCGCCCGGAGACGTGCTTTTGGGCAGAGACCACAGCAGCTGGAATCTGGAAACGATAGTTTACACAAATAGCTATTAGTTCCAGCTGGAAGACAGCGAGCAGCTGTTGTATGCTATTACGTAGTTTACAATAATTATGGTCAACAGGTGCGAATGAAATACTTGCGTTACACCTGTTTGCTTGATAGATCTTGATAGACATCCCATGTCAAGTGTCTGTTTCATGTGTCTTTCCTTTTTGTGTAATGGGGTCTCCTCCGGTTGAGACACTGTACATTTTGTTCACATGTTCAAGAGGTCCACCCTGGAGACATGCAGTCGAACGTGAAGTTTTCGGTTTTCGTGCCACGATTCTCACCGTTACAAGCTTCATGCTGGTGACCCGGATGAATACCTAGAGCCCAATTGAAAGCTGTGCACATGTGCACTTGGTGTTTTGTTTGTTCTTACCGCCATGCACCTCACATGACCACGGCCGTTTTCAGATCCCGCACGGGTTCCAGGCTGGTCCCGTCCCCGCCACGCGGCGGCATGGCACCCCACACGGGTCGGGTCGGCACCTCACAGCCCTCGATGATGCGGTCGGACTTTTCGTCCCACCTCGCTGGTATCACTCGTCGGGATGGGACCGAAAAAGCCCCAGTGTCTTTCAAGACCGAAAACAGCTGCGGCTGCTCGAACATGTTCGACCATGCGACATCGAGACGAAATCGAGTCGAAACGAATTGGGGAAACATATTGTGAAAGACTGACCGGTTGACGTTTCTTCCTTTGTCGACCACGTTTTTCGTCCCCGTTTTTCAGTCGACGGAGCAGGTCACCAGTCACTTGTTTCAGGTCTCCAGTCAGTCATGCCAGAGGAGACCTGTAGAGTTGAGTGCTGGATGTTGCTGGTATCAACATGAAGTGGAATTCTGGGTTATGCAAGTGACCTTCGGTCCCAGTTGGACCAGCGGACCGAGGAGTGTGAGGCTAGTTGATTCTCTAGAGAAGGCCGCTTCAGGAACCTAGCCAGGTCACTTTAAGCTGGTGGTTGGAAATTTTATGGCTTACATTGGTGGCCTAGTCACTTTGCGTTTGGAATAGATTTGGCACTGCATGTCCACAATGCAGTACTGTAGGTGCAGGACAATCTTCAAAACTATCAAAGCCCAGCACTTCATCATGCCAATGAAAAGCTTTCACAATCAGCCCAAGATTAAGTGAACAGATCGGTAAAGCATCCGACTTGGACCAGAATGTCAATCAGTAAATTATTGGCATTATTGGCATCTAAGTTAGAATTGTCCAATTAATTATCCACCATTCCCAACCATTAAACATCATTCTCACCATTCTCAGTACCTTTGCAGCCCAGCTCAGCTCATCTCACTGCCGCAGACAAGGAACCACTTGGCCTGCCCCGTCTTGAGGGAAGTAGCCACCACACGAAGCATCATCCCAGAACTTCCTCAGCGGTTTAAGGCTTTTCTCCAGAGTCCAGACCCAGGTGGTTGGTTTTCCCATCTCGGATATCGGCCCTGACATGGCACTGACTTGGATCGGATCTCGAGTACGTCTCATGGAGGGAGACAGCTGTTGATGTGAGACAAACTCATGTGTTGAACCAACACGTCTGACTTCCACGGCGGTGAGGCTGACGATAAGAGGACGTCCCCTTTTTAACACGTTTTTGTGCACTCATATCACTCGTCCACTTTTAACTACAAAGGATTCTGCCAGTCCCTTTGAGTTTCAGTGATTTGCACGAACTTCTGGTAGTCTGCAGTATTCGCTTGTCGCCTTTCAACACAGAAGTTCCGAGACAAAACATGGAAGCCAACCTATCTCAACGTCGCTCCAAAAGGGCTATCATGTTGCTATCCTGTGTCTCTTGCCTCAATGTTGCAGTCAGTCAGAACATCCAAGAACTCTATCCCAACCCCCCCAAGAGGCGGATCCGTTCTCGACGGACCCCAAGCTCGAAGTTCCGACCTGCATGGCGGCAAAAGGCCGAGCTGTGAGGGAGGTCACGTCACATTACTCAAGTTGCTTGGTGCTACACAACAAGGATTGAAGCCACCTACATATTAGTGTTTGTGTAATATGAATAATTATAGTCGAGAAGGCCCTCGCTGAAGCATCCCCCACACATGAGATGATTCCTCCTGAAAGCCCCGCACATTCATACTCTGGCGTTGATAGAATTTCATCATAAGTCATAAGTGGCTTACAAACAATATGCGAAACTACATGAAAGCAAAGGCAAGGCTAGGCAGTAATTGATCATCGATCTTGGAACCATTATGAGGAAACATGCCCACTGCACAGAACACAACATGCATGGACCCGGCCAAGCAAAAAGGCACCTTTGCTAGGGAATAAGGTGCTGCAAATAAACATTTGCCCCCTACTTCATACTCAAGTACAAACAAAAGTAGTTGTCCAAAAGTCTCCCAAAGCCTCTTAAACACACGCACAAGTAAAAGAAAACAACATATTGTGAACAATACCGATACCTCTCTCATATTTGTGCAAATTATAGTAATTCTTATGTCATATTGAACATCCTATCCGGTGGTCAGAAGTCATCCTCTCTGAACCCCAGAGATTCCTGTTAAACATCGGATCAAGACCTACTGACATACTAGTTTCTTGCTACTAGTAGTGATGGCCTCCACCTCCACCCTAATAGCGATGGCCTCCAACCTACTACTGTAGCTTCTTGCTATATTGCTATACTGCTAAACCAACACGGTCTTCTCATGTCTTCACCCTGTCGGCTCCGTCGGCTCCCAAAGTTTCATGCGAGTAGCGACCCGGTGTGGGGTCACACAAGCCACCACGCTGCCAAAACGCCAGGGCCTGGGAGGTGACGAAGTCAGTTTTGGAGTCGACCTCAGAACCTTCAAGTCTGGCACCTCTCAGTCTGGGGCTTAAGGACTCTGGACCCCTCCTTTGGGGGATCCACTGATATTTGAAGGGCAGGGGAACCTCCAAGGACCAGAGGTGGCAAGAGAGTAAAACAAGGGTTTGTAGAATTTTATAGTAACATGTCTTTCCACAACCATACATGCTTGTTCCCTTGTTTGAGCCAATTGGATAGGATAAATAGCACAGTGTGACACTCCACAGAACTTTTGTTGTGTCAAATCATGTTCATCACAAGCACTCCTTGGGGAGGCAGCAAACACTGAATCCACCGCACAAAGCAGTGCACTCCACATACAAAATTGGAAAACCATCTGTTGTTGTGTAGAGGAAGATCGAATTCCCAAAGGTCATGCCATCCACTTCCACGCCAGCGATGTTAATAAACTTCACTAAAAACCAACTCACTGAAATAATCATGTAAGCAAAACACAGACACACACCTCTTTGATACCTTGTAGAAGAAAATTGTCATCCAAGGGGCCATGTTCCACTTCCATCATTATTTCAGGGAGTGTAGTTGATGCGTACTCTCCTCGTACATCCATCAACTATCATTTTTTGTGGTCTTGCTGGATGCTGCAACGATGCACATCTTATGTTGTGGCTGCAACATGCTGTGAAGACGAGTCATTTGGAATTTGGATCTCACACAGCACGAGAAGAAGACGGCAGTCAGAAAGTAGCAGCAGCCTCCTCTTTCGCTACTAGTCTGCCAGCCAGTCTCGGCGCTTCAAGATAAATACAGAGGTGATCGTACTGCGTATTCTCACATGATCTCACTATGGCGCCATAAACGTCCACCCATGATGCCGGATACCAACTGGCTGACATGCTGGCAACAAGAAAAACGCCACGAGGCGGAATGCCCCCCGGTCCTGCATCTGTGGATGTGCAGTGTTTCCTTCTACGGCGCAAATCCTATATAAATTGTGGAGCTACCTGGGGGGTCAAAGACCTTTCACCCTGGAAGGTTGAGCTCGTAGTCCATTCCTCATTTTCCTGTAGTCCACCAGGGCACCCCGGTGGATTTCACCCACAGCCACCTATGCCTATCCATACTACAGTATACCTGCACATTCATGCTTTCACATCCCGTCCCTCACCCGCTGAAGTTGGCGTCCACGTGCCTTGAAAAAGGCCGTGCGCCGAGCATGTGACGCTGATCACTGATCTCGGCTTCCGGGCCATGGACATCAAACGCGAGGGCACCATGCACGGAGCACCTGAGATTCGTTCCACGAGGTACGTCGGTGAGGCCTCGATCGACGCCCATCCGGCACCATGCCCCAGCTGGACACCTTGCTTGCCACCCATAGGACACCTGCAGATTTTTGGGCAATGATGTTGATTCTTCTGGCAGGTGCCAATAACACAAAGAAGACTGTGGAGTTCCAAAAATGGTCATACCACAACCCGCAGCCAAACCTTGCGAGAATCCAACGTCCAGCACCCTGTGTCCTCCGAAGCGGGGTGTGAAGATAAACCTGCTGAGCTACCTGCCACTGGCCGAAATCTGTGGTATTCGGAGCAAATAAAGACCCGCAGGCACCAGCTGGTCGCATGCGAACAAGGCTATCCTGTGAAAACACCGCAACCTTAAGTCTTAAGGTAGACCATTTGTCCATTTGCTGTTGCCAAAAGCATAGCTTGTGAAGCATCATACCGGTAGACCGACAAATCTACGACCCACCAGCGCGCGCATCACAGCGATCCACTTGATTGACAGACAGTATACGACCCACCCCACTGGACCGCCAGAATCGAAGACGGTTAAGATGGGCACGGTTCTTTTCAGGATCGGTTGCAGGATCCTTGGTCAGCTGGGCAGGCTTCCAGCATGTTTACAGAGTTTACAGAGTTTACAGTTGCTGATAGAATGATTGCTCTTCCTTAGGTAGGGACCATGTGGCTGTTACCGGCTGTTACCCCCTAAAATTGTTATTCAAGGTAGTGTCCGAATGATAGAAGATGATAGAAGTACGCCATCAGGGGAAGGAGTTAACCCAGAGATACCAAAAGAAGTGCAAAGAACCCCCAAGCTAAGCAATAGCACCAAACTCCCTTAAGACAGATGGACATCCATGGAATGCTTGTAGTCATCTTGGTCTTGCCTCAACAGGACCTGCAAATTGGTACAGTATGTTGTGCCCTGCAAGCACAAAGCACAATGTTGCAGCAAGGACAGGTGCTCTAATGTGCTCTACAATACTCTACCTGTCAAGTTTTTGGCCTTGCAACATATTCATGTATTAGCATTTACTTTAAAAAAAAAAACTAGTCTTGGTAGATCTCCTGTCTCTACTGTGCAAACACATTGAAAAGCTTCTGGCCAATACTTCCATCGCCCTAAACATGAAACAGTGAGACACCAATGATGACTTGGTGATGACAAATCCCTGAAACAATCTGGTACCTCACCTCACTCATCCATTCATCAACTTAAAAATCGACCAGCATGTGCTCGGTGTTTCTTCTCTTCCCCAAACCCTCCCCGATCCACTCCAAGCCGCTGCGAGGTTGGAGGAGACCCAAACCTGCTTGGGGCCGTTCCAGCGGAGACCATATCATATCCAAACAATCAAACCGCAAAGGAAAAACCACAGCGAACTGGGAACGTGCTCTGATGATCCTCCGAATGGGAACGTGCTCAAAACCCTAAAGGCTCGATAGCTTTGGCCGGGTTCGGGCACCAAACCCTTCGACAGCGTCCAGTCGAGCGACAGGAGCGTCCTCGGTCAAAACCTTTGGGGCGGTTCTGTCACGGAAACCTCCGAGTCGACTCGGCCGCAAAAGCCTTTTTGACCACGTGGTGGATGCAGGACGGAGTTAAGCCAGACCATCTTTTGATCCTTTAGCATACTACTGATGTTCACTTGTACAGGTTCAGAACCTTGAAGATCAAAAACTAGTGACGCTGTTTCTTCGAGATGGTGTGCTAGATTCTCAGCTGGTTGGCACCAACACATCTCCACACCCATCACACAAATGGGAACATAGCCATCCACTGCTCAGCCATGCTCCACTGCTCAACCTGCAACCTTGTATCTCCACTCAACTCGACCCAGGTGGCAGCAACCCAAAACCATCATCGTCCAAGTGGCGTCTTCCGAGGCCTTTCCGAGGGCAAAGATCGATGGACAATCCCCCCAGTTGCTCACCACGGGCTTTGGAATGTCGCATGGCTGGACAACTCTAGCTCATTCAAGAAGAATGCGGAGGCGTATCAGTCTGACTTCTGCATCGATGTCCATTGTTTCTTTCAATCAAACGTGTCACTGATCATCTCCCTGCTTGTCACTAAAGAGTCAGTACAGGACCTAGTTGATTCATGGCTTGGTGTTTACGAGAGGTGTCCTCGTCAAATAAATTATAACGAACTTTCAAGCCGTGCGAAACCGTGTTAATCTCGGGTGCAAACTATCCGGCTCAAATGCCTTGTGTGTCATGAAGCGACTTGAATACCTGAAACAGTTGCCAAAAACCCGAAGTTTCCAAAATGAAGATCGACATGAACGGCGGAAGGGCC